AGTTTTGTATTAAAACAACAAATATGGCTGAATTTGTTGAACTAGACATTCTTTGCTGGACGTCCCCGTGTAGAAGCACATTTTTATGGGACATGGGACGAACCTTTTTTCTGAAATCAATGTTGGGTTGTATTTATTGATATCATTGATTAAGTTAATAATTTTTATAAATGATGCTCGATATGTAGGCGTTCTGAAGGTCTTCAAACTGTGAGGGTGCTTGCTCCAATTCCAACACAAGCCATGCAGTTTTATCGAGGGTTCCCCACGAAGGTATGATCCTATCCTAACCTTCACGGAATGCTTTCTGCTCAATAAATCCTGTAGTTCATAACTTCATATGCCATACGACACATCAACCCTCGATCCTCATGGAAAGCGAATTTGTGGAGCTATACGCTCGATCCTGTGATTATGTGATTATTATATCGTTAGAGGTAGTAATCCAAGCCAACCCATATTACTGACCAACGGTGGATAAACATATTTCTTAGAGTTATTAGCGTACAGATGTTTTTACTTGGACAGTAATTTACTGGTCTTGTTTGTTTAAGCTTGATCGTGTCTGGTCTGAACTGGTCTGGTCTGGTCTGGTCTGGTAAATGGTTGGTCTCTGTGTATTTTATAACTACGGAAGTCAAGTCTGGTCTGGTCGGTTTAAGTTTGGTCTGGTCTGGGACTGAAAATAGTCCAAGTAAAAAGATCCTAACTAGCGCGACGAACAATGCTCGACACTATGTGAAGTGAGCCCCTCTCATTATTTAGAAGTTAGGAATCTAGTTCTAAGGGAGGCTAGATCAAGCGCATCTAGTGTTGGAGAAAAAAGGGCACCCAATGCATAAAAATGGTTAAGCCCCTACAATAGCACTATAGCAGCGGGAGGATTTCCATAATATTACAGTTATTATCAATCACTTTGTTATATTATTTATCTCCCAAACTACTTCTCAAATTGCATCATTTAATTATTGTCTAAAAAATGTGTCATTTTTTAATAGGTATCTTAAGCTAGGATGGAGGTAGTATGAGTCTATGAAGTATGAAAGTGGTTCAGTTATTGTCATAAATTTGTTTTACCTAAATAGTCGGAGCATTATTTCAAAGTGTTGATTTTAATCCTTGTAGTGTTAAATTGATCAAGTAGTCCATATATTAGAATATCAAACTTTAAAAATATAAGACAGTATTAAAGAAAAACATTAACCTAAAGAAATACCGCCAATTTTGCTGACCCATTACATACTTCCCAAAAAGAACACCTGCCAGCCCAGAAATCTTTAGTGTAGTTAGGCAACCTATTGCCACAACCCTAATTTGCAAAGGGATCAAATCCAGAATTTCATCATCTTTAACTTTGGGATTCGTACTCGTCGGAAGGGTCATATAGATCGGAGCTCTATCTCAGAAGTGTGAACTAAATTATGGGCAGGGGCGGCCCCATATATTTGAAGGCTTAGGGGAATTTTTTAAATTGTAAAACATGTTTCTATCTAAATTAACATGCAAAATAATAATATTTGAAGATCTTTATAATTAAGGAAATACTTGAATTCGTTAAATTAAACATATTCGAATCACGTTTTCAAAATAATCATATAAAAAATTACTTAAATACAATCCTGGCTGAGCATTGTGAAACAAAGTCATCAACAATAACTCCATAATCAAGCTTCTCCAACACACTATGTTCAATGTTTAATATAGCGAATCCATTAAGCCTTTTTTGAGACATTTTTTATAACAGATAATTTTTTAGAATCTTCGACTTTGAAAACCTTCTTTCCACAATGGCCATGGTACTATCAACATCTTCTTTCTCACCATCTTGTAAAGCATCTGCAAGTATACCACAACATTCTTTCAATTTTTCATGAACCAACGATTTCATGTTCTTGAACTAAATAGGAAGCCAAATGTACACAATGGCCATGGTACTATCAACATCTTCTTTCATATGATCAAATCTAGTTCGCAAAAACATCAAAGCGGCATCCATCACAACATTGACATAAAAACACTTAAAAAGAATCTTTTGGAGACTTATTGGTGTGTAGCATATAATGGGCACACAACTATTTTTTTACTCAAGGAAGTAGGGTGTCGAACCACAGAGAAACGAGAAATAAAATAATTACGCACAAACTAAGGATTAAAGTTGGGAATGTGTTTCTTTTGATTTTTGTTTACTTGAAAAAGTAATTAAATAAAAGTGATTGAGAGAAGAGATTTTTATCAACACAAAGTTCAACCAATAGCAAGTACGGGTAGAAATTGACAACTAATTGTTCAATGCTCATTTGAAAGACATAATTGCTAATTTTATTCTTAGATAGATTGTGAGAAGTTGTAGATAAATATTTTAGAACCCAACACAAGTCAACTAAAATAAGTAACTAGTCAACATTTCCCAATGATGGTCAAAACGAGACTAGTTGTTTAAGCGCAACGACAACCTTAATTATTAACTATATTATTTACCCAACCCCGTGGTGTAAATAATATAATTAAATAATTAAATTCTCCCGTAAAACTTCAATCCGGGACAAGGTAAAAGAAGTTTAACGGTATATTCAGAAAGTGTTCATTTTTGTATTTAACAAACAATATGTTTATGATTGAGTACTCATAATATATATCACAAACACAACATAATTAATTTTCTGGACACAACAATCTAAATAGAACAAACTTAACAATTAAAATCAATACAAATTAAAACATGATAAGAACAATTAATTAAACAATTTCTAGCCCCAAATTTATTTAGCTATACATGTTTGGAAGCATAGAAATAGATGAATCCATGATTAAAGTACAAGATTTAATGAGATAAGGAAGATCAAACTTGTGGTAGATGACAATCCTTGGAGCTTTGATGCTAATCTTGACTTAATCTTGGATGAGAAGGTGATTAGTTGTGGTTGAAGATTGGTTGATGATTTGGGGTTGAGAAATGAAGAGAGAAGGGAGAGGAAATGTTTCTAGGATGTTTAGAGAGAGGTTGGTTCGAAGTTCTGTGTGGAGGAAGATGGATTAAGGCCTATAATGATAAGGTGATTAATCAATCATTGCTGGAATTTACAGAACTTGACGTGTTTATGTACAGAAATGTGCAGTAATGTTCCAACAATACATAGCAGTACAGTGGTTATGGGGAGCTGTTTTTGACTCTGAGGTTGCGGGTTCAAAACCCGGCCACTTTTGTTCCATTTTCACTGCTGGGCTGAAGTAATATATACAAATTGCCAACATAAAAGTTCAACTTCGTTCATTTAGCTCACTGGTTGAGGATCTCCTTCCTTGATCAAATGACCAATGTTTGAATCCCAGCCCCATCTCTATCAATTTTTGCTACTTTTCTCCAATTTATTCCTTATTTGCTTTGAAGGAAATTCCACTTTTGTTATTCTCCAACTTGAACTTTTATTTTCTTCATTTCTTCATGCTAAATGTATCCAAATAATATCAAAAGTACATGAAAATACAAAATACACGCATAGGACTGCACAAATACAAAGTCACGATAAATAATAAAAATATGTACAAATATACAATTTAAGTGACCAAAATTTTCAACAAACTAAGCCTATAAAGTGTGTAAAATATAAGCACATCAAATCCCCCACACTTAGGCTTTTGCTTGTCCTCAAGTAAAACAAAAACAACAAACACAAAAATATACAAAATTTGATAAGATTTACAAACATAACTAAACAAATCACACATCCACCTCTAATGTTCACTAAACGGTCCTATACCCTGAAATGTCAAAATAACGCAATGAGAGTAAACTGAGTATTATTGCCTATCAATAATATTTTCAAATCAAACTTTTAACACAAACACCTATAGATCTAAATTAGTTCGGGTTATGCAGAGCAAGTTTCTCCAATTAGCTTTATTCGAAAAATGACACGATTAGATCGATTAGGACTTTTATTCAGTGGGTGGTGAGATTAATGAGTGTTGCTAGTTGAAAGGAAGGTTTGGTGTAAGAATATACAGAGAGATTTAGATTGTACTAATACTGAGCGGATAATCACAAGAATTTAAAAGAACTTGGAGCATACAAAACAATAAAAGTATATGTGTGAACTGTTCAAAGCTTGGGGTTTTACAAAAGAAATTACAACAACAATTTAATGTGCCTCTTTTTTTTCTTTTTTTTTCAATTTTTCTTCTCTTTTTTTTTTCTTTTCTTTTTTTTTTTGATTTTTTTTCAAAGAGGGCACACACAGACACACTGAACATTACAATGAAAAACTAACCCCAAAATTAACAAACAAAAATGTACTTCACTCATATGACACTTAATAGAAGCTCGATTTATTCACTCTCAAGTAACAAGACAAACTCTCTATGGTTAGAAAACATAAACTTTGGGCAGGGCTTCACAAGGTTACACAAAAAAAATCTATCAATATCTAAAAGCAAAATGTTTTTTGGGCTCGAATTTTCGCTCAAAAGAGTCGCTTTCAAGGTTTTGGGGATACAAATCGTGTAAATAGCAACTTCATTTAGAGCATGCGTGTGGATTGGTCAAGGGTGAAGCTTGGTTCTGTTGTGATTTCTGAATATTCATTGAATGTGTATCACTCTTCCGTGTATGTTGGTTTGGAGCACTGTTGTGAATAGATATACATTTCCCACTCACTTTTTTGAAGGTCTTCCATTGGTTAGTTAAAGGGAAGTGAACAGTGTTTCACACAAATGACATGACATGACATTGAGAGAGTGGGTGAGGTTGAAGTATGAGTGATGCGTGTTACATGTTTTGGTGTTGCTGTGATCTAGCTTGGATTTTCTAAAGATTTTATTCAGCCAACCGCAGATTGCTATCATTTAATATTTGAAATGTGGTTGAACAGTGTTCCCTCTCTTTTGAGGAAGCTCTCCTATTGGTTCATTTGGAGGTCAACAGTGTGGGTCTTCAATTTTCAGCCTAGATTCCCCCTATAAATTGGCAATTAATATGGCAAAGATCCCCACACTTGAGCTCTCCCGAAGCAAAACAAAACAGAAGCAAAAATCATAAGATGGTTGGCATGTGGTCTTTGTTTCTTGAGATAGACCAAAGCAAGACCACATGGGCATTCAAAGCAAGAGCGAGTCGGGTTTATCGTGAACCGGCACACGACTGTTTTCCGAAGTCCGTGGAGATTGTTTTTCATGATGAGGAGGTTTGTGTATCTTATATTAAAAGTGTGTTCCCCCCGTACACGTTTAAAGGTCATACATAGCAAACATGTTTTTCATGAGTAATTACCTATTACTTAACCCGTTTTACTTAAAATGCGAGTCTGTGTTGCCATGAAAGTTTTGGGGAGAAAATTTTACCATGCGACTTTTAAATGTTCTGTCAACGGATCAATTAGCAAAATGTCATAGAACATGCATTTCCCTGATTTACCCTATGCGTTGGCTGGGTGTTTACTATAAAACAACTCTAAAAATATCAGGGTTCCAAGATGCACGCGCACATTCAGGACCAATACGTCAACAAGTTCATCGGTATCTTCAAGGAAGGTCGTGTTTTCGCGGTGAAAAATTTCATGGTGGAGGAGAGTTATATGTTTTTCAAAACCACAACTAGTGCCTACATATTGAGTTTCTTTAACAAAACTGCTGCTTTTGAAATCAGAGATGTCCCATTCCCGTTGAGAACTTTCTCACTAGTGTCTTTTGCAACGCTGAAAGCTCTGGACACTATTGATGAGAAAATAGGGCTTGGTGCGCAATTTTTTTTATTTCAAAATATATAGGACGTGTTGTGTCTATAGTATTCTAATTTGTTGTTTAAATAAAGATATAATAGTGTTCGGAACCTTAGAAACTGGAACCTGAACCCCAGAACCCAGACCCCAGAACCTGAAACCCCCGAATCCCGGAACCCCAGAACTTTGAACCCCAGAAACCCGGAACCCAGAACCCGGGAACCCCAGAACCCTGGAACCCGAATCCCGGACCCCTAACCCCGAACCCCCGAACCCCAGAACCCCTTAACCCCGAACCCCAAACCCTGGAACCCCGAACCCAGAACACCGAACACCGAACCCCGAACCTGGAACCCACAACCCCGGAACCCTAACCCCGAAACCTAGAACCTCGGACCCCCGAACCCCGAACCCCTGAACCCCAGACTCCCGAACCCTCGAACCTCAGAACCCGAAACCCCAGAACCCCGAACCACCGAACCTGGAACCCAGAACACCGGATCCCAGAACCCCGAACCCATACCCCGGAACCCTGGAACCCGAAAACTCGAACCCCGAACCTGGATTCCAAAACATTGAACCCCGGACCCCGGAACACGAATCCTAGAACCCGAAATACCGAACACCGGAAACCCCATAACCCAGAACCCCAGAACCCGAAACCCCGAACCGCAGAACCCGGAACCCCAGAACCCCAGATCTCAGAACCCGGAACCCGGAACCCGGAACCCCAGAAACTCGAACCTGAACCCCAGAACCCAGAACCCGGGACCCCAGAAACTGGAACCTCGGAACCCAAGAACCCCAGAACCCGAAACCCCAGAACCCCGGAACCCGGAACCCAGAACCCGGAACCCCAGAACCCGGAACCCCAGAACACCAGAACCCTGGAACCTGAACACCGGACCCCGGACCCCAGAACCCGGAACCCCTGAATCCTGGAACCCCAGAACCAGGAACCCCAGAAACCCGGAACCCAGAACCCGGGAACCCCAGAACCCTGGAACCCAAATCCCGGAACCCAGAAGCCGGAACCCCGGAACCCCAGAAACTGGATCCTCAGAACCCAGGAACCCCAAAACCCCGGAACCTGGAACCCAGAACCCGGAAACTTAGAAACTGGAACCTGAACCCCAGAACCCAGAACCCGGGACCCCAGAAACTGGAACCTCGGAACCTAGGAACTCCAGAACCCGGAACCCCAGAACCCATAACCCCAGAACACCAGAACCCTGGAACCTGAACCCCGGACCCCGGACCCCAGAACCCGAAACCCTCGAATCCCGGAACCCCAGAACCTTGAACCCCAGAAACCCGCAACCCAGAACCCGGGAACCCCAGAACCCTGGAACACGAATGCCGGAACCCAAAACTCCGGACCCCGGAACCCTCGAATCCCCGAACCTCGAACCCTGAACCATACCTCGGAACCCCGGAACCCGGAACCCGGATCCCCGAACCCCGAACCCTCGAACCCCGAACACCGAACCCGAAACCCGGAACTTCGGACCCCACAACTCAGAACCCTCGAACCCCAGACTCTGGAATCTGGAAACCTGAACCCGAACCCCGGACCCCGGAACACGAACCCCGGAACCTAGAACCCCGGACCCCTGAACCCCGGAACCTAGAACCCTCGAACCCCGAACACCGAACCCTGAACCCATACCACGGAACCCCAGAACCCTGGACCCCGGAACCCAGAACCAGGAACCCCGAACCCAGAACCCGGAACCCTGAACCCAGAACCCGGAACCCCATAACCCTAGAACCCCCGAACCCCGGAACCCCAGAACGTGGAACCCCAGAACCCGGGAACCCTAGAACCCTGGAACCCGAATCCCGGAACCCAGAACTCCGGACCCCAGAACCCGGAACCCTCGAACCCGGAACCCTGAACCTCAAACCCTGAACCCATGCCGCAGAACCTTGGACCCCGGAACCCCGAACCCTGAACCCTCGAACCCCGAACCCCCGAACCACGAACCCCGAACGCGGAACCCAGAACTTCGGACCCCGGAACCTGGAACCCCCGAACCCCAGAACCTGGAACCCTCGAACCCCGAACCCGGAACCCCAGACCCCCGAACCCCAAAACCTGGATCCCCCAGACCCCGAACCCCGAACCCGGAACCCAGAAATCCGGACCCCGAAACCTGGAACCCTCGAACCCCAGACTCCGGAACCCAGAAACCTGGAACCTCAGAACCCAGGAACCCCAGAACCCGGAACCCCAGAACCGCGGAACCCGGATCCCAGAACCCGGAACCTTAGAAACTCGAACCTGAACCCCAGAACCCCCGAACCCCGGACCCCCGAACCCTGGAACCTAAAACTCCGGACCCTGGAACCCTCGAACCCCGAAACCCTCGAATTGGGGTCCGAGGTCCGGAGTTCCGGGGACTGGGGGTTCCGGGGTTCGGGTTTCCGGGGACCGGGGGTTCCGGGGTTCGGGGTTCTGGGGATTGGGGTTCGGGGTTCCGGGGTCCAGGGTTTCCGGGGACCGGGGGTTCCAGGGTTTGGGGTTCGGGGTTTGGGGTTTAGGGTCTGGGCTTCGGGGTCCGGGTTCCGGGGTCCGGGTTTCAGGTTCCGGGTTCCAGTTCCGAGGTTGCGGTTCCGGGGTCTGGATTCCGAGTTCCGGGTTCCGGGGTTCGGAGGTCCGGGTTTTCGGGTTCCAGGGTCCGGGTTTCGGGTTCTTGGGTCCGGGGTTTGGGGTCTGGGTTCCGGGTACCGGGTTCCGAGGTCCCGGGTCTGGGTTCCGGGGTTCGGGGGTCCGGGTTTTCAGGTTCCAGGGTCTGGGTTCCGGGTTTCGGGTTCCGGGTTCTGGGGCATGGTTTCGGGGTTCCGGGGTTCTGGGTTTCCTGTTCCGGGTTCCGGGGTCCGGGATTCCGGGTTTCGGGTCTAGGGTTCCGAGGTCCGGGGTTTGGAGACCGATTTGGGGGTTCGGGTTCCGGGTTCCAGGTTATGGGTTCCGGGTTCTGGGGTCTAGTTCCGGGGTTTGGGGGTCTGGGTTTTCGGGTTCTAGGGTCCGGGTTCTAGGTTCCGGGTTCTGGGTTCCGGGTTCCGGGGTCCGAATTCCGGGGTTCGGGGTTCCGGGGCCTGGTTCCGGGGTTCTGGGTTCCGGGTTCCAGGGTCCGGGTTCCGGGTTCTGGGTTCCAGGGTCCAGGTTCCGGGGCCGGGTTCTGGGGTTCCGGATTTCGAATTCCGGGTTTCGAGTTCCGGGTTCCGGGGTAAGGGGTTCTGGGTTCCGGGGTCCCGGGTCCGGGGTCCGGGTTTGAAATCTTTAAAACAACATACCCAATCTTATCCATAAATCTTCAAACCCAAATAATTAATATCAACCCTTACCTTCAAACACCCATGTTTCAGCTCACGCGCATAGGACTAATTATGCGTTGAAATGACAAAAATGACCTTCAAACCGCTACACGTACTCTGAGCTCATTGACGGTTACACAACTCCCATTACGGCACCTCCCGGTTTCCAAGTTCCCAGTATTATTACCCCGGAAAAAAAGATTCCAAAAATTAAATGATGATGTATTGGAAGCCTTACCGTTGAGAGATTGCTGCTTCCTAGTCGACGTAACTTCCTTGAGGAGAGTTTCATTGAGGAGAGCCGCTTGGTTGAGGATAGTTGAAGGACGAAGCCATTGACGACAAAACGATGGATTTATCAAATACAGTTCCCGTTAGAATCAATTCCAAAATGGTATGTACTCATTTCTTATCATAATGCCTGCAATTGAATGTCGATTGGCAGTTAATAAGGTTTGAAACAAATTTGATGAATGTAAATACGTTTTAAATTAGCCACGCAAAAACTCGTATGATGAATACTATTGCATTCGCAATAGAGTAAATGACATGTTTAGTAACATCAGATTACATGATAATGTTGTTATATAGTAGCATTGGAAGCATATTTGAAAAGTGTGATGACATTTTGTTTTAGGTTGAAAACAAAATGACATCACATACAATGACAAATTGAGAAACTGATGCAATAATGACAGTTTAATAAATTTTACTTGTTCATATGGTGGCATTTTGTATGAAAGTGACATTCCATGAGTATGTGGTTATATACTGGCAATGTAACCTTATGTGAATGTTATCATGACATTATGCCTTAAATAATGACATTGTATGAAAATGTGTTAGGTTGAAAACAAAATGACACCACATATAATGAGAAATTGAGAAACTGATGCAATAATGACAGTTTAATAAATTTTACTTGTTCATATAGTGTCATTTTGTATGAAAGTGACATTCCATGAGTATGTGGTTATTTACCGGCAATGTAACCTTATATGAATGTTATCATGACATTATGCCTTAAATAATGACATTGTATGAAAATGTGTTAGTTTGAAAACAAAATGACACCACATATAATGAGAAATTGAGAAACTGCTGCACTAATGACAGTTTAATAAATTTTACTTGCTCATATAGTGTCATTTTGTATGTGGTTATGTACTGGAAATGTAACCTTATATGAATGTTATCATGACATTATGCATTAAATAATGACATTGTATGAATATGTGTGAGCTTCAAAGCAAAATGACATCACATATAATGACAAATTGAGAAACTGATGCAATAATGACAATTTAATAAATTTTACTTGTTCATATGGTGGCATTTTGTATGAAAGTGACATTCCATGAGTATGTGGTTATATACTGGCAATGTAATCTTATGTGAATGTTATCATGACATTATGCCTTAAATAATGACATTGTATGAAAATGTGTTAGGTTGAAAACAAAATGACACCACATATAATGAGAAATTGAGAAACTGATGCAATAATAACAGTTTAATAAATTTCGGAAAACTATCAAATAAGCCCTCGTACTATACCGAAAAAG